ACTGCATGGTGCAAGACACCTGGCCACATGTTCCCAATCCCTTTGTGGAGTAATCTGACACCAATGTCCACAAGTCAACTTTTTAAACATCCCTGCAGCAGGAATCCATTTGGTTTAAGTGGATTGTGTGACACCAGATGTGAAACAATTCGTAGGGGTGCACACTTCTTGAATTGTAATTTAGATTTAATATCAGAATATTTCTGATTTAGAAAACACTTCCAGTTGGGAAGAAATTATACGTCAATGTCCGATGACCCTTTGCCACCATTGACATGACAAAATAAACAACTGATATCAATGTGGTGAAGGTCAAGTATTTTTGTCCAAGTGTATCATAATATAGACTTCTATTTTACTCTTATTTTAGTATTTCTCAGTCTTGGTTGCAGATTGTTGTCTAAAGCTCACATGGTCCATTAAACTAAAATCTGAATTTAAGGAAAGAATATCCAAATAATTTTGACACTTTGTACAGGATGAATCCAAAACCATAGTTTAGCACTCTGTGTGTGTACTTCTACAAAATAATAAAATGAGATATCATAAGCTCTATAAATGTTCACTTTGATCTATGTTCACTCCTGTACATCCTATGATAATTGTAGTGGAGTGGACTATCAATATTCAATTTCTGTAATTTGATTTTAATACTGGAGCATTGCATGCACTTAAAATGGTTTTAAAAAGAATGTTGTTGACCCACAATTCTGCTATGATCATCTGGCACGCCCAGGTAACTACATAGAATACACAAATTTAGCTGCATCAGAATTACCATTTTAATCCAGAGACCCTGAAACCCCATGAGGCATCAAAAAATTTGTATCTCTTGTTTTATCCAGACTTGCAGAATAATTGCAAATAGTGGAGATGAAAGGTTATCTGTGAAGCAATGGGTTTGCAAAAGACAATGGAGCTAGACTTGAAATATGCAAAGAAACAATACTTCACGAGCTGTGAGTGACAAAAAGAGAGAGAAATCAACATGGAATGGATAATAGCAAGAATATTGGAAGCTCTTCTCTCTTTTAATCTCAGAGACTAGCTGATCAAATGGAACTTGGAAGACCAACAATTCACTGAAGACTCCAGGACATCTGCACCTTAGCCATTATGGAGGAATCGAGACATAGCTAAACAATTGGTCTCAGATTTCACCCTTGTAACTCAAAGAAGAGTAAATTACAATTGGCTTTACCTTTATAGACACATATAACTGTACAGTGTGGTAGCAGGCCATTTGGCCTGTCAAGTCTGCACCAACCCTCCAAAGAGCATCCCACCCAGACTCACCCTATCCCTGTAACCCCACGTTTCCCATGGCTAATCCACCTAGCCTGCAAATCCTGGACACCAAGGGCAATTTAACATGGCTAATCCCCTTAACCTGTGCATCTTTGGACTGGGAGGAAACCAGAGCATCTGGAGGAAACTCATGTAGATATAGGGAGTATGTACAAAGTCCACACAGACAGTCATGCAAGGCTGGAATCAAATTTGGGTCCCTGGTGCTTTCAGGCAACACTGCTAACCACTGATCCATGCTTTATATTTATACAAAACACACCTTCCACAACCCCTATCACTCTGTAAGCTCATCACCTGTGTTTGTGGTCATTTTTAAATTATTTTTAGGGAATAATAAAACTCCATTCTTTTTGATTTGGTTAACTAAGTGTCAGTTTCATGTTTTAACCAGTTCTTGATGGTAGCATTTTTACCGGAGTTGGAAATTAAAATCCCATTCCAGCAGTTGTGAAGTAACCTAGAATGATAATCAAGAGAAGTCTCAAGGGGATGCTGCCCTATTGGAGTTACTGATTTTATTTGACACACTGACTGAATGATTCATTGACTGCCTGTCTGCCACCTCAAGTGATGCAAAGAAACTAATTGCACTATTTTGAAAGAAAGATATAGGGGTTCACCTTGATATCTTGGTCACTACTTACCTCTCAACAAGTACCATTAAATTGTAGAACCCCTACAGTATGGAAACAGGCCATTCGGCCCAACAAGTCCACACCACTCCTCCAAAAAGCATCCCACCCAGACCCATTCCCCTACCCCTGTCTAATCCACCTAACCTAAACATCCCTGGGCACTACAGGCAATTTAGCATAGCCAATCCACCCACTCTGCATATCTTTGGACTGTGGGAGGAAACCGGAGCAGCCCCACACAGACATGGGGAGAATGTGTAAACTCCGCACAGACAGTCACCCGAGCGTGGAATCAAACCCAGGTCCCTGGCGCTGTGAAGCAGCAGTGCTAACCATTGAGCCACCATGCAATACTGCAATGGATGGCAATAGGTATGTTTTACTTCTGATGCAATTATAAATGATGAAGCTGATGAACAAAACATTTAGTATTTATCCACTCTTCATACAATATATAATTTTAATGTGGTTCATGTACACATCCTTTACATTATACATCTATAGCCATTCTCTAATTGTTACCCAATTTTTCTTAAATTGTCAATATATTAAAATAAGAATTTGCTTGTCATTGAAATCCAGACAAGACTTTTAAAAAATCTTTCTATTCTTCTCATCTTGCATTTATATATGTATTTAATTCTATAAAAAAAAATAGAATTACAGTTTTACAATACGGACCAAAATAAAATCAAATAACTTTCTAAACTATGTAACAAATATTGTCTGTAATTTAATGTGCCAGGGAAAGCATTTTCAACATATTGAAAGAGAAACATAAAGCTGGGTGTTGTTTCATTTCTCTTTTTACACAACATTCACAAGAATAATACACACAGTGTAAGTTTAATTTTTTTTGTAAGTGGTGCGAGACACTATTCTATCATATGAACTGAAATATAACCTGTATGAAATGGATCAATATTTTGAATCCCAGTGGATAATTTTTAATACATTATTTGCTAGACACTATGTTGTGCAGATGTGCAGTATACAAACCAGTTATGTTCCTCGTTATCCAACTGGAGGTCAAATGATACGTTGCAAGTGAAGAAGTGGAAATGAATATACAAGATCCATCAATGAACAGTAAAATCAAAAACATATATTAGGTTCTATCTAATGTATGTTTCATAAAGAAATTTTCAATATTGTTAAGAAAGAAAGTGCTTAACATCTGGAATCCAGTGAGCGGATCCTTAGCTAACACATGTCCAATCATCTCAATGGAACCCAACCTACTAAAAATAACTATTTCTACTTTGGCTGTTTCAGCAGTTTCTTAATGCACCTACTTAAACAGAAAAACTGGCCTTCAGAGTGTCCATAGCTGAAATATGCCATAATATGGTTTTACTTTCCAGATTAGATGCTGCACCAGGTATGGGAGGGCAGCTTTTGAAACTTCATAAGAAAATTTGTACTATTTTAGAAGTCCCATTCAGTGAAACAAAACCACTACCCTTCTTTCAATGCTCTGTGCTTGGTCATCTAATTCCTTTCTGTCCTCTACATTCCTAATGGTGGTGAGCCATAATATAGTTCTGTGGGTACTGACAGCTTGTTAGTATTTTGTTCAAAAAGCCATTTTTGAACCAAGACTGGGAATCCCAGTTGGCTTTACAACTGTGTACAAATGTACGCTTTTCAGAAGTCGATCAGTGAATGATGATTAGGAATGATAACTGTTTTGTTGACTTTTCTCCTCCCTGGCCCAGTGCATTGACTTCGATCGTTGCAAAGTTCATGTCTCCATGGTTGATGTTGACCAACAGACAGTGATTGAATCCGAGCTGTTTGGGGCTTAATATCATATCACTCACTCTATTTTTACTTACGGGGCACATTAAACACATGTAATGTCCCCTTATATGTAGTTCATACAGTGATTTTTCAAAACATATACGTGATCGATTCCAGTGAAACAATTAGGAGTATGATATCTGATTTGGCATCTATAATTTCAGCACTCTGTTGATGCCACATTCTTGGCACAAATCATTTTCCACGGATCTCCATCATTGCTGTCTGACTGCAAACATGTGACAAGTGTGTAACATTCGAAGTGTTAGAATGTTTTTAAGTTTTCTGAACCCCACTTCCATCAAAATTTTAAATTATATCTGTGATGATAATCCATCACAATTTAAGCTACCCTCTATTCTTCAGCCAATAAATAATTAACTTCTACAATTTTGCTTGTACATTGTTATATATTATTCAGTAATGGGGAAATTAAATTACAAAACATACTAAAACAAGTGCGATATTTTTAAAAGCCAGTTCTTTCAAACATTCCTCGAATGTTCAACTATTTCCATTAAATGTGATAAAAGAATGTGTGTCCTGGGACATTTTATAGGAGTGTACTAGATACTACATATTGTCTTTTGGAAAATCAGGTAATGGATGAAAACTTTCCTGAAAGAAACAAAACAATTATAGATAACATTTGGTGACTATTTTAAATGTGTTGGGTGCAGCAAGGGATTAGCACTTGAGAAAAAATGCATTTTTAGGGATGCACAGTCTTGCCTGCTGTGTGTAGATCAGCGGTTTATTATTTTGTTTTTACCAGCTATTCAACTACATCGATTTAATTTTCTGACTGCCTACAAAAAGAGGCCAAATGTCACTTCGTTGGGGTACTATACTGGGTTTTGGCTGTCACTTTTTGAAGATTGCAGCCATTTTACAGCTGGCTATTGAGAAATCTATCCAGCCACTGTGACTGCATTTTTCAATACATTATTCAGGGTTCCCCATCGCCTGGAATAATTTGGTTTCCGAGCAGTAAAATATAGAAACCCTTGTTTAGGCATCTAATGTGCTTCTGCCACAGCTCAACATACCATTTTATGGCTACTGAGGGAAACACTGGACTTCAGTCTAAGAAAGTAAAATACTTTGCAAAGCTATGACTACTGTCCACTAACATGGTCATTGTGCTAATGGATACCATAATCTTTTAGTTATTATTACATGCAGATGTCTTTTTTGACCATTTCCTAAAGATATATAGTAATAATATAAACACATACATATTTACATGTATAAGATTTCCAAGTATTTAATTGCTGGTTTCAGCATTATTGTAATTTAGTTTCAAGAAATTTTGATCCATTCCTTCAAATCTTCATCACGATTCATTACTGCTGAAGTAAAAAACTGTCTGCGTAATAATTGTTCCATCAATTTAAACCACAAGAGCAACCCTGAAATCAATGAAAACTCAGTAAAAAGAAAAACCCTTCATAAAATATATAGGTTTGCATTACAGATAAAATACCATCAATATTCCTTTAATCCACAGTTCTTTTTACCAGCAGAAACAAATTCCACAAAGAGCATTGGAAGGTCAGTCTTGCAATTCTGAATTAACTCTTGTCCATGAACACAATGGAGCAGCTTTTAAATGTCATGCACAAGGGATTCTTTTTCCACTACTTATCATCCAAGTATTTACATTCTTTTGACTGTTGCGGTGAAACCATATGAAGTGTGGTACATTCATCCTAGTGCTATTGCAATTGGTGATACAGGAATTTAAATCCTATTTTTCACGTTGGGAATGCACAGTTGCACAGAACTGCCAAATTTAGCTGTTGGAGGAGTCTGGATATTGCATCTCTGTGCTGAATACTTCCTTGTAGAGTGGAGGAAAGTTGTGCACTGTTTGTGGATGTAGCAACTTAAATAGCTGTAGCTTATCCACATGAAGGTTGCATACGGACTTCACCACGGACAATTTGGAGATCAGCTGTTGAGAAGGAAGAGAAAAAAATGCATTGAGCTGTTAAGAAATAGGGAGGGCTTCTTTGATAATTTATTTAAATAATGTCAAAAAGTAGAATTTTATTTTTGTTTCAAAGCCCAGAAATTAGTTCTTAGAAGATTAGCATATGAATGCTGCTGTTTGTAGTTACCCCTGCTAGAAAATCTGCTGCAACAAAAACAAAGTTGCTGGAAAAGCTCAGCAGGTCTGGCAGCATCTGTGAAGGAAAAAACAGAGTTAACGTTTCGGGTCTGGTGACCCTTCCTCTGCTGTCTTGGTTTGGTATGCACTTATGTCTTGCACCTTCTTAACACTTCCACTGTAGCTTGTCTGCAGGCATTCTCTGACAAGCCTAGGTCCACTTTGCTTTTTATAACATTGTCCACTGTTTTAAATGTAATGTGAACATCTTCATTAAAATAATGAGCCAGAAAACTACGATGTAAAATGTCATGCTGAAGTGAAGTAAAATGGGATAATTCACTCCCAAATGACATTGAATTCGTGTTGGCTCAGGCACATTTACGACTTAAACTTCATGGTAGGCTGGAGAACGCAAAATAGAGCAAATTGTGCTGGTAGTGGTGGTGTTCATTTAGCATTTTACAACATCACTGACGTTACCGTACTTTCTTCGTAGTTTCAGTTAAGTCAATTTAAACTAAGTCTCTAGAAGGAAATCAACAGCATTAAGTAGAACATCACTGTGAATAGTTTTGGTTCCCTTATCTAAGGAAAGGTATACTGGCATTGGATGCAGTCCATAGAAGGTTCACTAGATCGATTCCAGATATGAAGGGATTTTCTTATGAGGAGAGACTGAGTATGTTGACTTTGTTATCATTCAAGTTTAGAAGAATGAGAGGCGACCTTACTTAAATATATAATATTCATAGGGGAACGTTGCAGAGAAGATGCAGAGAGTTTGTTTGCCCTTGTGGGAGAGTCTAAGACCAAAGGTCATAATCTCAAGAGTAAAGGGTCATCCAGTTAAGAGAAAGATGAGGAGGAATTTCATCTCTCATTGGGTAATGAATCTATGGATTTCTTTACTGCAGAGGGCTGTAGAGGCTGGGCCATTAAGAATATTCAAGGCTGAGATAAACAGATTTTTAATCGGTAAGGGAATCAAAAGCTATGGAATAAAGGCAGGAAGTGGAGTTGAGGATTAACAGATCAGCACTGAGCTCATTGAATGGCAGAACTGACTCAATGGGCCCAATGTCCTACTTTTGCTCCTACACCTTAGGCCTGATCAGTTTTGCATCTGTCTAAAGTAATGTTGCACTGGCTTCCAAATTGGGCATGTGATAATGTAAGCTTCAGAACTTTAATAACTATTCATAGATTGAAAGAAGCAGCAATAACTCTATATGGAATAAACTGTTAAGGGACAAGGACAAACTGTTATTCAGGAAAGCAATTAGCCATGCCTGGGAGAAGAAAGAGTCAAGGCAACATGAACAAAACTGTTTTAAGAACTGCTTGATAAATGGCTGCCTTATGCCACAAGGACAAATGATTGCCCTGCAGAAGAATTTAAGGAGTTAATCACAGGAAAGCTGTGTCTACACACAGGCAGTCAATGCCAAATGTAACAACGAACAAAGATACTACTTCTGATAGGAAGGCAAAGTGTAGATTTGCAATATTTTGGATGAAAGAATCTAAAGGATCATCAATAACGTCATACTACAAGCTTGAAGGACAGAAAATTGTATAAGAATTCAACCCCAGGATTCCTTGGGAACAGAACTCCAGAGAACAACACTGAACAAGATCACACCCTGGACACATCCAGAGACACACCGTTGGTTGGAATCGTAGCTAAAAACCACCATTAATTGGGTGATAGCCAAGTTAAGTTGTGAGGCTTAATTTGCCCACTTGAGGGGTCTTATTTTCGTTGGTAAATGTAATAAAGTTTAAATCATTGTTTTCAGTACTTGATTGCCCGTGAGGTTTCTTAATAAGTAGCCAAATTAAGGGTAGCTTGTGGTCGTTTACACACAACAGGCAGGATACCAGACAGAAATGTACCTGATTCTGCCAGCTTCAAATAGGCACATTTGATTAAAAGTACTCACAATGTCAGAAATTTTATATACAAGCAGTGTATGGACACCAGATCAGCAAAATGGGCTAACTAACCACCTGATTTTTTCAATGTTGGGCTCTTTTAAAGTTTTGGCCTTAATGATGCCTGTGGAATTTAGACTGATGTAAAATCAGATGGCATGGCTGTGTCTATTTATTTTTGTCAGGGCTAGAGGCCTCAGTGTAGCTAAAGTGATGCAACAAAAGGCACAAATGTAAATGTTACTTGAAAACTGCAGAATCCTTTTTTAAAAAGCAATTTGGTGCATTGAAATTACATTTGAACCACGGGATTTAGAATGTGAAGTCAGATTAGGCCCCACCAGTTCATTGCAAGTCAGTGAATATTCCAGACGCTCAGACATCTTGCAGTGCTTTTAACTTTGCACATACAGGATATCATTGTATTACATATACTGACATTTTAAGAACAAACGACATAGATTGTTCCTCAAAAACTATAATATGTACATTGTGTCCGATTTCTTGATTGAAATTGAAATTATCTGCTGTTTTATTGTTATAGTCACCTATCCATTATTCAATGAATTATTTTAATATTTCTTTTTAATAACTAGACAAATATTTGCAATATCTTTCCCTTCAGGCTTGAAACAGTTTTCTCCTGTCGAATATATCACAACAATTTTAAGCTTTTTTTAATTGAAGGAAAGCCTATCACTTAGGGTTGGATTAGACATGCAATGTTGCTTCAGTTGCTGGTTGGATTTATGATCTATTATCTTTCTGATGCCAAGTGAATGTGACAGTGAGCAGCATGAATTAAGATAATTTTTCCAACTGCATAATGCACAGAGAAAGGGATGATCAAGGACCAGACATCATGAGAGGATTTTAATTCCCCAAAGCAGTTTTAGTGGAGGTAGATTGGCTTGCAGGAGAACAACCATTTTAATATATGGTATGACAAGGTGTAGAGCTGGATGAACACAGCAGGCCAAGCAGCATCATAGGAGCAGGAAGGCTGACGTTTTGGGCCTAGACCCTTCATTAGAAAAATTTTCAAGCTCTACACCTTGTTATCTCAGATTTTCCACCATGTGCAGTTCCTACCATCTCTGATTTTAATATATGGGTTGGTCATTAAATTGTTTTCAGGAAGCTGCATGCCTGTCTCCACTTTTACTTTTAAAAGCTGCTGACCAGCTTTCCCAGGCCTTGGGAATTCGGGCAAATGAAAGATTAGATGCTCCAAGTACCATGACCACCACTATCCCAACTTGCATTTATGAAACTAACTCCTCAACTCAAACCCCAGAGACTCTGAACATCATTCAATTTATACACCAAAAACCCTAAGAAAACCCTGACTGAAGCTTTTAAGACCCAGTTGCTTCCCAACTGTTTTACCCACCCTATCAATCTGCTTGGTTATCAGGACGGAAATTCGTTGGAAAAAAAAAGCAGGTTTTGATGTTAAACTTGGCAGGCCTTGGAAGGAACCCATATTTTTGGGTTTCTTTTTTCCAAATTCCCTGATTCCTATTTTCTTCATGTATCATGGACCATACTTGCAAGCTGTGCACACCTAGATCACGTAACCAATATTTTAAACAAAGTCAGAATAATCCTTTTACACACAAAAATAATTCCACTTAAGACTAAGCAAACTGTGCACTAATTCAAATATTCACATTAAGTTTTAGAAATTGATTGACATTTTGGCAACATAATGCAACAGAAACAAAGAATACCAAAGGAAATGTTCCCCAGTCCTGCAATGTGCAGAGCTGCATTGCTAGATAAAGATTATGTTCAGGAATACGTTTATTTAAGATTGGAAATAAAAACAGCCAAATGATAAACTTATTCATTCATATGTGATTTGAATTTTATTTGGTGAAATAAGAAAATTCTACTGTCTTTGTGTAGTCATGCTGCTTATGAGACATGTCACCTTGTACATGCTGCAATGGCCTGTTGCTAAATGCAATAAAGCTCAAAGCCATTATTTCCAACCCCTGTATACAGTCTGTGCCCTTGCCAAAGGTGCTGTTCCTCGCTGAAACTCTCCTACAACTTTCTGATTTTGATCACCTCCTAATACCTTTTTGATTTGATGCCCATATTTCCACTACTATGATTCTGTGATGGATCCTGAAATAATCCTTTATATTAAAGCACTATACATTATTCATCCATTGTTGATTGCAGCCAGGCATACTAATTTCTGTGTCTATGATCCCCTGAAACAATTCAATATACCTTTGATAGCTTGTCATCATCCAGCTGATTTTTGTGAATGACATGTTGCAATGCCTCAAAAATCTTGTCCTGTAACTTCTTGACTTTTCTAGCTTCTGTCAACCATGGTCGATCTAAAAGAAAGAGGCAAAGTGAAACATTCCGCACATACTAAAGAAACCTTTAAAAAGACAATAGGTTGTAATATTTTGCCAGGCCAAACAAGTGATATTGGATTTGTTGCCCATTATATAACTTTCATAATGTGATGTGTCCATGTGTATATGTGATTTCTTTTTGAGGACTTGGGTTTTGAAGGACTATGAAAATATTAAATTTAATTTTAATTTCTGTGAAGATACCTGGATTGATGGTTTTTTAAAAAAAGTGGTCAGTGAAAGGACACATTAGAACATTTATTTAAAAAGAAGAGATGTCTGGCAAATTGCATAGTTGCTTGGACTCACTTCTCAGATTGAAGCTACCCGAGTTTTATGGCTGTCTTGTTTAGACAATATTTTGCTTCGAAATATTTTTCGTTTTCATCAGGGGAAAAACCTTTTGATGAAAGGCAGCCCAGCTCATCTCTCTCCTGTTTTTAAACCATCACTGCTGTGAATCCAGTGTGAAACAGATTGAAAAACAACTGAAAGTCTTCTCAATACTGTGTTTAATGAGCAAGATGTGTCTGCCAAGACTCCAGAGACAACTATGCACGTTTAGTGACCTGTTTACACATGTTTGAACACCAGATCAAGGACTAGCAATTATTGGCCAAACATGTTTTTTCCCCCAACACAAAGTGAATTTCTGCAGCTAGATGTCCATCTTTTCTCCTTTATCTGATGTGCGCATGCATATGTGTTGGGTTATTTTGAGGGTTAAGCAGTTATATTATTTCTATTCTAAACAGTATGTTTGTTAACTGGAGTAATGAGTAGACAAAGACAGTCCATCCTTGTCATGACAACAGTTCATGCAATCAATTCCTTTACACAGTCAGTGGAATGAAATATCATGCACTATGTAAAATAGTGGCCATCCTAATACCATTGATTTTGTGCCAATGCCCGAGAAATAAAATTGATTCAATGGAATGGCTGTTTATGAAGCCTCATACTGGTTTATTGTATGGCAAATTTGATGGCTACTCATCAAAATATATATAACACAGGCAGTGCACCTCAAATAACTTCTTGAAACTAAGCATCGTTCTGCATTGTTATTTCTTTTACCAGCTCATAAATCCTTATTTATGTGGAATAAATAATCATTTTTCAGGTTTTACCAGTTACTTCTTCAAAGTACTCCAGTAAATCAGTTAAACATGACTTTGAAGAAGTAAGTCATGTTTAACTGATTTACTGGAGTACTTTGAAGAAGTAACTAATGCTGTAGATAAAATGGGAACAAATGGATGTACTGAACTTAAACACTCCAGAAGACATTTGCTAAGTGCCACATTAATAGTTTTTGTGAAACTAAAACTTCATGGTGCACAGAGTAACATATTGGTGTGGATAGGAGATTGGCTAGCTAACAGGAAGCAGAGGGTAGGAATAAGATTGGCAGGATGTCATGAGTGATGTGCCACAAAGGTCAGTGCTGGGGCTTCAATTCTACACAATTTTATATAAATGATTTGGATGAAGGCACTGAAGGTATGGTAGCTAAATTTGCAGATTACATAAAAATAGGTGGGAAATCAAGTTGTGAAGAGGATATAAGAAGCCTACACAGGAATATGGATAGGTTAGGTAAGTGGGCAAAGATCAGGCAAGTTGAGGACACTGTGAAAATGTGAGATTGTCCATTTTTATAGAAAGAATACAAAAGGAGCATATTATCTAAACAGTGAGGGGTTGAAGAGCTCTGAGATTCAGAGAGATCTGTGTGTCCCAGTGCATGATTCACAAAAGGTTAATATGCAGGTACAGCAAGTAATCAGGAAAGCTGATGGAATGGTATGTTTTATTACAAAGTAAGGCTAGATAGGCTAGATCTGTATCCTCTGGTGTTTAGAAGAGTTGTCAGTGGCTTAATTGAAATATATAAGATCCTGAGGGGATTTGAATGGGTGAATATCAAGAGGATATTTTCTCTTGTGGAGGAATCTAGAACAAGGAGTCATCATTTAAAAATAAGAGGTTGCCCATTTAGGACAGAGATGAGGAAACATTTTCTGTCTCAGATGGTTGAGTGTGTTTGGAATACCCTTCCCCAAAGGCAGTGGATGTAGAATCTTAAAAATATTTTTAAGGCAGAGGTAGGAAGATTCTTGATTACCAAGAGAATGAACGATCAGGGATATTCAGGAATGTAGAATGGAGGTTAATATCAGATCAACCATGACCGTACGGAATGGCAGAGCAGGTTTGAAGGGCCAAGTGGCTTACTCTTTACTCACTTTGCATGTTCTCACATTAAACAAAGTCCTCGCCTGCCTTTGAAAATATCTCCTTAGCATTCCTAAAAGTGAAGGAGTTATCACAATATCCTAGCCAACATTCCTCCTTTAGCTAACTCCTCCAGAAAAGATTAACTACTTTTTTTTCAAAATCACTTGACGACTCATATCCTCCGTAGCTATTTGCATCCTACCCTGTCACCCTCATGGGTCTTCCATGCTAACTAAGCTCGCCACCGACTCTGCATGAGTCTTTATACCCTCAGTGCCAACCTATTACAGATTTATAAAACCTAGTCCTTCATTAAAACTTTATTTAAAAAAAAAACACTTCTACTGTGGCCCTATACAAGTACCAGCCATTCAGACCTTTAAAGTTTCAACAAAAGAAGCTACTATCCCATGGATGCCTTTATCTTGTACAAAATAAATATTGTGCAATCAAAAAGTAACAGCTGTCAATCAAGCAATGTTTTCTGTTGGGTGCAGGTATTTTGAAACACAAAGAAATGTCTTGGGCTCTTGGCCAAGCCTCATTATATGTTCTTCCAAAAGGTTTCCTCATCTACGTGATGATTCATAACACCTTGGAGGGGTGTGAGCATGACTCCTTGAAAAGCTTGTCTCTCACCAAAAAATTGTAAGGGACTAGGAGATGCCTGATCCTGCTCTTAAACCAAGTAGTTCAGGAGTACAGGGTGAAGGATTGTGACCTACATCAATCCACACTGGTAAAAATTGGGGGCTGCAAACAGGGCAAGGGATCCTGGAATCAGGGCTTGGCAACCATTTTTAAAGGTTTGCAGAGTCTCCCTGTAAAGAAGGCTGACTCCCTTGGAATGAAAAGTCAAGTTCTGGATTGATAGCATTTTTACTGTCTAACAATTTAGAGATTCAATAATATGGCAAACATTTCTCATTTCTACATTCCAAGATGTTTATCTTCAGCTGTCTACTTTAAAGCATTTAAAACTGAATTCTGCTGCAATTGTTCAGGAAACACTTCAGCTCCACTGCTTAGGTGAAGATGTAACAAGGGAGGAGTTATGGAAAAGACACCATTTTAGAATGACAGACATCATCACCAGACTACACACATTGAAAGTCAATACATTAAGATTCTTAGGTGGCTTCACAGAACAGATCAGAGTTATACAGCACAGAAACAGACCCTTTGGTCCAACTCGTTCATGCTGACCAGATATCCCAATCTGTATAGAGAGGCTGTTTCAGCTTCTAGATCCAGAAGGTATAATCTCAGAGTAAGGGGACACTCATTTTTTTCTCTCAGAGGGTAGTGAATCCGTAAAATTCTTTACTATAGAGGGCTGTTGAGGTGGATTCATTAAATATATTCAGAGCTGAGGCAGACAGATTTCTGATCATTAAGGGAATCATAGGATAATAGGGATAAGTCGAATTGAAGATTATCAGATCAGGCATGATCTCATTGAATGACATGGCAGACTTGATGGGCTGTACGGCGTACTTCTGCTCCTACATCATATACAGTGTCTGTATTTTCCAGCTTAATGCTTTAAGATCCATATTTTACATACCTGGTGATAACAAGATGCCAGCTGTGAATAATGCAATCTCTTCCTCTGTCAAATGCAGGCAGCACAAGCTTTTTGCCAAGTCAAACACAATGTTGATCAAATCATCACAACCTAAAGAGGAAACATCAGCTCTATAAATACAGCTGCAAAATCATCTGCAAGAACAGATTACTGGTAATGGAGATAAAATTTGTCATTATTATCATCATAAAACAGTTGCAAAAGTATATTATTTCTGTAATTCCTAAACTGAATGTCTTAAGAGTAGCACTTGAGAAATGCCTTAATTTCAAAACCTTTTAGGATAGATTTACATCCTCAACTTCCATAGTCTGCAGTGGTCTCAATTTTCTTCACTTTTTCTCTCAGAGGTTAGTGAATCTGTAACATTCTTTACTATAGAGGACTGTTGAGGTGGAGATATTAAATATATTCAAAGCTGAGGCAGAATTTCTTCACTCTGAGTCAAAGCTGGGAAATTGACCTTATTACTGCAATACAAAAATGGAAATCCAAATCTAAAGTTTGACCAAATTTCTATGCTTATACCAATACGGCTGGTGAAAGAGTCCTAGCTTGTAATGAGTGCGCTTACTGATCTCTATTTGGGAAAGAACATAGAACATGGAACAGTATAGCATAGGAATGGGCCCTTTGGCCCACAATGTTGTGCCAACATGATACCAAATTAAACTGATCCTTTCTGCCTGCCCTTGGTCCACATTCCTTCATTCCTTGCATACTTGTGTGCTTGTCTAAAAGTCCCTTAAACGCCCCTATCATATCTGCCTCCAACACCACCCCGGTAGCGCGTTCCAGACTCCTAACACTCCGTGTTAAAAACCTACCTCTCATATCTCCTTTGAACTTTCCCCCTCTCACCTTAAATGCATACCCCCTAGTATTAGACATTTCAACTCTGGGAAAAAGATTTTAACCGTTAACCCTATCTATGCATCCCATAATTTTAGAGACTTCTATCAAGTCTCCCCTCAGCCTCTGTTGCTCCAGAGAAAACAACCTGAGCTTTTCCAGCCTCTCCTTATAGCTCATACCCTGTAATCCAGGCAGCATTCTGATAAACCTCTTCTGCACCCTCTCCAAAGCCTCCACCACATCCTTCCTGCAATGTGGTGACCAGAATTGAATGCAATAATCTTAAATGGGGCCTAACCAAAATCTTATAAAGCAGCAACATGATATCCTGACTCTTGTACTCAATTCCCTGACCAATAAAGGCAAGCATGCCATTGGCCTTCTTTACCACCCTATCCACTTGTGTGGCCACTTTCAGGGGACTATGGACTTGAACCCCAAGATCCCTCTGTACATTAATGCTGTTCAGGGTCCTGCAATTAACTGCATACTTTTCCTTAAAATTTGATCTCCGAAGTGCAGCACCTCACATTTACCCAGAATAAACTCTACCTGCCATTTCTCCACCCATATCTGCAACTGATCCACATCCTTTGACATCCTCTACAGCTACATCCTTTGACAACCTTCTACGCAATCCACAACTTTGTATCATCTGCAAACTTAATAACCCATCCGTCTACATTTTCATCAAAGTTATTTACATATATCACAAGCAGCAAAGGACTAAGTACAGATCCCTGTGGAACACCGCTGGCAAGGACTTCCAGCCAGAAAAACACCCTTCCACCACTACCCGCTGCCTCAATTCTGAATCCAAGCGGCCAAGTCACTGTGGATCCCATGCATCTTAATCTTCTGGATGACCCTACCATGAAGGACCTTGTTGAAAGCCTTACTAAAATCCAGGTAAATGTCATCCACTGCTTTATCCTCAGCAATCACCTTCAGCGTCACCTTGAAAAATTCAGTCAAGTTAGTAAGACATGACCTGCCCCGCACAAAGCCATGCTGAACGTCTCTAATTAGGCTATGCTTTTCCAAATGTGCATAAATCCTATCCCTAAGAATTCTTTCCAAAATCTTCCCAAGCACTGATGTGAGACTCACCGGTCTACAGTTTCCCGGATTATCCATATTTGTCTTCATGAACAGAGGAACAACAAGTAGTTACTCGCCAGTCCTCCGGGATCTCTCCAGTGGCTAGTGAGGATACAAAGATCTTGGTCAAGGCCCCAGCAACCTCCTCTCTTGCCTACACCATCAGGCCCTAGTGATTTATCCACCTTAATGCTCTTCAAGAGATCCAACACCACTTCTTTCTTGATCTCAAAATGCTCTAACATATTAGCATGCTCCACACTAATCTCACTATCCTCTATATCCTTCTACTGGGTGAATACCGACACAAAGTATTCATTTAGGATCTCACCACAGCCTCTGCCTCCAAGCTCAAATTCCTTGATCCTACCTTCTCCCTTGTTATCCTCTTGTTTTTAATGTATGCGTAGAATACCTTGGGATTCTCTTTAACCCTACCTACCAAGGTCATTTAATGGCCCTTCTTGCTTTCCTAATTCTGTGCTTGAGCTCTTTAGGAAACTTAGGTGTCAATTCAGTACTGTCAGACTTTTAGGCTAATTGCATTTACTGTGATGCCTCCTTATCCACATGTTAATTAAATCTTACCCAATGATTTGAAGATCTGTGTGTCTCCATATTTTCCTTCAAAAAAAATTGTATTGTTCAAAGGGTTATATGCTCGGCACATTCGAACCAATAAGACCTCTAGGCAACCTAGAAAATAAAAACAGAAGATTCCATTTTAATCTTATATTTTAACACATTTTAATATGGAACAGAAATTTCAATGTGTGGTTAGAATTCATCAATTTCAAATTGGCATTTCAAAAAGAATCTTTAAAATAAGAGAGCAAAACTGAATTAGAAATTTGATAAGCTTGAACATAAAAGGGCAAGATGCTACTTAGAAGCGTACCCAAGATAAAAGGTTAATTAAAAATAACGTGCACTCAACAAACGGGGATGGCAGAAGTGGTCAATTTTGGGAGTAATTTTAACTTAATTTGCCCACTTAGATGAAATACTGGATTTACACTCAGCCTGACTTTACTCTCTAACTTACAGAGTAGTGCTTGGATGGGGATTGGGGTGGAGTTGGCAATGATGAGATCTGCATTCCTTCCAATCCTGTGAGCTTTCCATTTTGTGTGTTGGTAAAAAATAAATCTTCCAATTTGTCTCTGTTTTCACAAAGGAAGAGGAATGTGGGATTAAATGATGAAGGATGATATTAAACATCCACCATTTAGAAATCTTCAGAGGAAACTGCAGTGGAAAAGTTGACAAAAGTAAATGAACAGGAGGACTGAGACACAAGGTCATCACAAAAAGAATTCAGGTGAAAATTGAGGAAGTTTTTAAGAACAGCTTTATGACAAGCAGTTATTGAAGCAGATACCAAATGTATTTAAAAATGGAATTGGATTAAGTATTTGCAAAGCAAGAAATAATATTTGAATAAATAGATGGTACAAGAACAACCGCATTAATGTGCTGAGATTCTAAGATCAGTTATAAGCAATATATTCATCTGTTCCAATATTCCTGATTTGTAAACAGTTCATTCATAACTTGGCCTTCACATCCACCTTTTAGTATCAAGTTTACTATATCCAGACCAGATCATAAATCCAGTCAATTTTTTCTTTATTGTTTGTGTTTCACATGTGCAATTTATTTTGTAACAAAAATAACTTCCGCTCTGAAATGGAGGGTTAATTCAAATCTAATCATGTTGCCATATCTAACATTGTAATAATTTCTATGAACTGTTTGAAGCATTCTAATGCTGTATCTTCCATTTTAAAAATTCAATGTTAATATAGAAAGTGTTATCAGTTTTTATGATGATTCACTTAAGAACTTCCAGGCAATTTTCCAAAGACAGTAATATATTCTTACAGACTAGATATTTATAGCTGGTCTCTGGAATGAAATAGATTTATTATACTGGCGTGTTCACTTCTGGCTGTTTTGCAATACAGTGTTATAATAGAGGTTGAAAGAGTGCACCGATTCCTTTCTGGTCCCACTCCTCCACTGGTCATAACAAATTTTAAGTTTAACAAAAACAAAGTTGCTGGAAAAGCCCAGCAGGTCTGGCAGCATCTGTGAAGGAAAAAATAGAGTTAATGTTTCGGGTCCAGCGACCCTTCCTCAGAACAGTTCACCGGACCCAAAATGTTAACCCTGTTTTTGCCTTCACAGATGCTGCTAGACCTGCTGGGCTTTTTCACCAACTTTGTTTTTGTTCCCGATTTACAGCATCTGCAGTTTTTCCGGTTTTTATTTTTTAAGTTTAACAAGTTTGGTGATATGGTCAATTTTTAGGTTTTAAACTGTGTCTGGTTTTATATTGGAAACACTCCAGCCAGATTTCTTTTGTCAAGAAACATGAACTAATTTGCTACAAATCAAACTTTCTCAAACACGAAAATATAATTGACAAAAGAAATTACACTACGCAAAGATATATATGACTATTATTCTAGCAGCCCAAACTTAACATTAGGCAAATATGGATAACTGACAAATGATGGTTGAACATCTTAAAGAGTACACTGAATAGCAAATGTGAACAAGTAGATCTCAGTCAACCAACCAACCATCTCTAAGATGCAGTGGCACTTTGGGTTACCAAATCTCATTAAAATTTCACAAAGGATTACAATTCTTCACTTTTGATGACCTGACCTTGAAACTTCCTCAAAAGTGGTTTTCTCATGGACTGCCTCAACAACTGCACATGTTCTTTCCTTTCTTTCCTGGGTCTGCTAGCCTCTGGATTTGTGGAAATTGTACTTCCCCACTTACTTATAAGCACAACTACAGATTTTCACAAACAGCACATTTCACCAAGCTGGTACTATCTCTGTATTTCCCTGAGCTCCAATCATGCATGAAACAAATACCTCTGTGTTGCACTGGAGTATTAACTTACACTGCCTTCTTCCAAGCTGTACACAGCTCCTAGGGCTTCCTGAAGGACTTTACAGAGCCCTTGCTACACAGAGCCATTGAACTGTTCTAGCACAACCCTGAGCCCCAACTGTACAGAACTCATAGTTCATTTGCCTTTAGCAGTACAGCTAACAGCAGCCCTAAGCAACATGAACTCTGCTTCCTTTTCCCTCACATATTGTCTTACTTTTTCACTATTTGTCACTTCTGAAATTCTCTTCAGTGAGTCTGAACTGTTCTGATGAAGGATCCATTGAAAACCTTGCCCAATGCTGGGTAGAATTGAATGTAAGTAATGTTTTGGAATAATACTTTCTATTTTTATTTCAGATTTTCAAACATCTGCAGTATTTTGATTTAAATATAATACTGCAGTCTTTAAATAACTCCACTGTCAAGAAAAGTATTTATGTCTAATTTCATATTTCAACTTATTTAGGATTGGATTATCCTTTTTAGCCTGTACTTAATTACCTCCATTATAGAATTTGTTCTCTTTCCAATCCTTTAAAAACAGGACAGCATGTTTATGGTTGGTTAAAACCTGGGGCAGCATATTCACAGACGTACCCCTCTGTCAATCCATAGCTGAGAATACTCCAACATTGACTGTTTTGCAGAGATAGACTAAAAAAATAAAATCCCCTCGGATTCAAGACAGGGCCAAGAGGTGACATTACAGGGTTAGAATTCATAGTCTGAATCAGGCCTTCAGCTTTACTGCTGCTTTGATGCTGGTGTTTTTGCTGTGTCTTTCTATTTGTCACAATCTTATAAAAAGCATACCTGTTATTGTCCCAGTGTTCAAATCTACTAAGACAATGTTTTTGCTACTTTTGTTAGAATAAGGTGTGATCTGTACCTGCTTTAAGGAGTATAATCTGATCATTCTGACACAGGTCCATGAATCCACTGATTCGTTTGGCAAATTCCACCACGTACTGGATTGCATTTGTCACTTGGATTGCACACTGTTGCCACATGGCCTCACAGGACTGTTCAAACACAGGATCAAAGTCAAGGTATTGTACAAAAGACATCACCGGTCTAAACTGCAGTGTTTGAACCTGACAAGTAATACTGACTGGTTAGGATCAATAGATATTTTTTATTTAGCTTCAACATTTTTTCTATAATTAGGCAATTCTTATAAATTAATATACAATTGCTACAAACAAGTAAAGTTTCTTGTGATGATTGAGGAGATATTCTCCAGCAGCAAACAGCAATTCCTGGAAAATATTACATCAAAACTCTGATTTGTTCGACGTTAACAGAACAGTTGCAGTGGAGCCCAATTCTTGTTTTGCTTATATGGTAACCTTGAACAACATGCTCCCGATTTTGGAGATATGGAGTTTTCATGCCTGTGCTCTAATGGGCACAGTACCCAGCAAACATTTAAGCAACTCCAATTGTTACAATGCAATGCTGAGGCAGAGATTTCTCATTAATGTAACGAGAAAGCAACAATAACTACTTATATTTGTACACTGCCTTTAACATAATAAAAAAAGTCTCCAGGTTCTTTGAAGCAGCATTATAAAATATGAGACTAAGACACATAAAAGAGACTTGAGGTCACTGATGAGAAATTCGGACGAAGTGGCAAGTTACAACGAGTATCTTAAAGGAGGAAAGCAAGAGAGAGAGGCCAACAGAGTAGGGAAGGTACTCCCGTGCTTCCAGCTAATGATGGAACAATTAAAATTAGGAATTCAAAAAAGGCCAAAACTAGAGTCTTAGAGTCATACAGCAAGGAAAAGACCCTTCGGTCCAACCAATCCATTCCAAACATAATCCCAAACTAAACTAGTCCCACCTGCCTGCTCCTGACCCATATTGCTCCTAACGTTCCTATTCATGTACTTATCCAAATGTATTTTAAACATTGTAATTGTGCCCAAATTCACCACTTCCTCAGGAAGTTCATTACACAGAAGATGGTTCGCATGTACAAAAAGAAATGCTCCTCATGTCTGTTTTAAATCTCTCTCCTCTTATACAGGATTGCAGATATCTCAAAGAATTGGTAGGGGGTGGAGGGGGGTTGCATTGGTTACAGGAAGTTACAGAGATAGGAAGGTGCAAGGAATCTGAAAATGTAGATGAGAATTTTAAAATTAAGATGCTCCTTGACAAGGAACCAGTGTGGCAAGGGGCTGTAGGTGAATGGGACTTGGTGAGAAGTAAGTTACAATCAGCAGAGTTTTCAATGACCTCATGTTTAGGGAAGATAGGATGTGGGAGATCAGTCAGAAATGTGTTTCAATAGTCAAGACTAAGCAATGAAAGTTTATAACTTAATGATTGTAGATGGCTATCAAGGGTTAAAATTAGAAATATAATCTCAGTGGAATTTGCGTTCTTGCTGTTTGAGTCTATAATCAAATTCTCAGCCTGGTATAAAATATTTTTTCACAACTATTTTAATGTTGAATGAATGAAAATGTTATTTTAAATAAAATTTTGTTTTTTTAATGTGTGAAGATCTTTTACTTTTTCAATCATTATTTATACAATTGCTGAAGGTCACTCAAAGTAATTTGATCAGTACCTTGTTTTGAAAGTTCCTGATTTCTTCTTGTGTATATGGCTGCCAGGCTAGCTGCTTCAACTCTTCAGCTGTGTACTGGCAAGTCTCTGAATGTGATTCCACCACATTCTGTGCTATCCGATCTGGAGAAGATTACGCAGGTTTTAAACGGATGATACAAAACACTGGCTCAGAACCAGTAATACTTGTTCATTTAATCCAAACAGATTCTAATTACAAAGCCAAAATAAAGCATTTCTAGGCCCTTATTTAGATTGCTATCCGATAGGGACATATGGGGCATCGCATGATGTTTACTGTTCGTTATACTTGCCGCTAAACTCCAATTCAAAAAGGATTTGCCCACAAAGTCGGAAATCCAAGCTCCTAACTGCATGGCCACAGAATCTGGATATCATGTGATTGGTAAAGGAGCGATTCCTTTGGTTGGCAATGAGATTAAGTATTAGGAATTCAATGTCAAATCAGGCACAGGAAGATAAATATAAAAGAGAAAGAAGGAAAGAAACATTGAACTGTAAAAGGAGAGAAAAGAGACAAATAAAACATCGTAAAAATGGTCCAGAACTTGCTCTCAAAGCAACAGTAATGTTAATGGCACTCACACCTGTTTAAATAAGGCAAGGTACAGACTCCAATTTTGCTGTTGGAGTTGCAGCCATCCGTTGTTAGCTTTGACATTTGCTGTTACGTTCTGCATTAAAGATCGTGAAATTGCTACATTTGCGAGACAGTCACTAATGAAATCCACCACAGATATGTAACATTGGCAATTAGTAGCCAAAATACCCCTTTAATGACATGATAATCATTTGTTAACTGGCATTGTGAACTGAGAACTATCCACTAGATGCACTAAGTCACTTTCATTCAGGTTTCGAACTTTGCAGGAGAATTTTTAAAATGTCATGGAGTCATGAAGGTCTACGACGCAGAAAAAGACCCCTCAGCCCATTAAGTCTATGCCAGTTAAAAAAAAAGCACCTAACTACTCTAATCCAATTTCCTAGGACCTAGCCCATAGCCTGGTCTGGCTTGGCATTGCAACTGCATATCTAATTATTTTACATGCTGTTACGAGGGTTTCTGTATCTATGACTCTTACAGCGATGAATTCCAGATTCCCATCACTCTCTGGGTGTCAATTTCAAATATGTGATTTTTTTTCTCATTTTCCCTTTCTATTTTATTCTTCTCCATTAATCTAGTCTTTCTTTTCCTCTCTTTTTGTATTTGTTTTGACATGGTAGTTACCCTCCCTTCCAGTTCTTCATGTGTTTATATATATTCATTGGTTAAACAGATATCCTGCTGCTTTCCCTGTTCACTTAGGTCCCAGATTCCCTCTTTCCCTTACTGCACCATGATCACTTTCAGAAACTTAGTGGGCATAATCGTTGTGAGCTTGAAAATGTCAAATGAACTTTACATGATCAAGCAAATCTAATAATGGAATGATGAATAGCAACTTCTGGTTGCTAGTAGTTAATTGTGCACCTGCTCCTACCCTGAAGCTATAGTTTCACTTTATAAATAGGTAACAGAGAATGCCATCAGCTTCAACATTACCATGACAACAAATTATTGCCCATTATAAATTTCCAACTCCATAACTTGTGATTGTGAATTGGCTCTGAGTTTCAAGTCATTAGTAGCATACATGAATATTTGAACAGAATCATTGCCGTGTGTGTTAAATGATTTGAAGCAAAACATATCATTTCACAGCACAGCAGGAATGCAACGGGGAAAACTGAGGATCTCTCTGGATGGGTGAATTAGGATGGGCCAAATGGTACTTCACAGCTATAAATTATTTTATATTTTGTCAACAGAATAAGACGATTGTCAGCCCACATTTCTAGCACAATTCCTATACTGACTTAACAAAGAGTAGCAATACATACCTATCTCTGCCATTGAGATTTCTGAGGCTAGTTGCCCACTCTCTGGTGAAGGATACGAGAACAAACTGGGTTCCAACATGATTTCATATATGGACTCTTGTTTAATATGCTTAATGTCACTCATGTCAATAGCAGACTGATCTGGAGATGGTTCAGCAGAGGTTGAAAGATCAAAGTTATAAAAACTGTTCCCTCCATCAGGGGTCAGTGGAAAGTCAAACAGGAGCCCGTCTGAGAATGTGCTGCTGATGTCATCCAGATCTCCCAGTCCACTACTGACGCTGTTTGTGTAGACTCGTGCTAATCCCTCAGAATCTTCCTTCGATGCCAGCTGCTCCTGGTGCTGTTGATGTTTTTGTACCTCTGCATAGAGGCTATCACGCTGCTTTTTGGACATGCGACCAAACTTTACAGCTATTGGAAAGTAAGGGAAAACTATGACTGCCTGATTGCCTGCATTAACAGTTGTATAAACATGTGATTATGAATCAAAAAGCCTTTTTAGGTCTATAAATGAGATACATGTTTTTGTTTAAAAGGAAAAGAATAGGTTTGGAAATCAGCCAATTAAATTTTTAAATTTAAAAGTTTAAATTTAAAAATTTAAAGTTTTAAATTTTGATCCTCCGTTTTGGCTCATTATTTTGACAATACTGTTTCTCTCGATCTGATCACCTAAAACCTCTATGAAAAATGGATCGTGTTTTAAGATGGAAAATGGACAATAAGACAAGACAAATAAATATGACATCAATCCAGGAGACATTAAATTAGCCTCTCTGCTCCTATGATGCTGCTTGGCCTGCTGTGTTCGTCCAGCCCTGCACCTTGTTGTCTCGGATTCTCCAGCATCTGCAGTTCCTACTATCTCTGACATTAAATTTCTTTTCACTTCAGGCACTCCCAAACATTTCAGCTCAGGTGGAGTGAGATACGGGGTGTAATGGTTACTTTCCCCAGCTCCAACAATGGACAGGATCTTCCACAGTGACAATCATGATTGGATTGCTGTTCACCTAATCTACGCAGCTCTTCTTTTCTTGCCAGACCCTCCAAGCCCAGCTTTACCAGAAATATGGAGCGCAACATCCATTAAAGAAGTCCAACTCAGTGCAGTATTTTTTAACCCGGGGAGTGTGCAAAGGGGTGTGTGTGTGTGTCTGTGTGTCTGTGCGTGTGTGCGCGCGCGTGGGCTTGTGTGTGTGTACAGATCCCACATAATAAATTAGCGACTGGGTGAGTGAATGAATTAATGATTGGTTAGATGGTAGGGTAGAGAGGTGGATGAGGTAAGTGGATGAGTAGATAGGAAGGTTGGTAATGTGCCATCTGGACAGTTGCGTGAGGAACAATTTGGGTAAGTGGTTGGGTTGGACGGTTCTTAGGCTGTGGGGATTAATCAGGTGTGCTTGGGGGAGATGCAGTCAGGGTTTACTGCAGCCTGGTAGCTTGGTTCACTGGTGAGTCAGGTGGGGTTCAGTTCTCTAGTTACCTGGATGCCAGGCTTTCATCACTCTAACATTTCTTGGCTGAGTATTCATGGAGATGCAGTGGAACTGTCCCTGTTCAAAGTCTCCAATTCTAGGTCAGTCAGAAACATTTGCAGAAGGTTCCCAAGGGCACAGGAATTGCTGATCAGAAGTCGGAGTTCATTGGCTTGGATCATCAGAAGGTCCAGAGCAATCTCAGAATTCCAAGCTTAAAAAGCGAACAGGGTGGCAATGTGGAAACTGGACCAATTAATCCCCGATTTCCCACTTTCTCTCTGGTAATAAAATTTGCTTTTACAGGTTCTGCTTACTAAGGCAAAGAATTGCTTCTTGTTTTGACAAAACAACTTTCACTCTCTCATTCACCTCCTTTCATTTAGGTGTTTGCTTTTACAATTTGCAAAAATCTATTTAAAAATCCAATATTTAATAAAACCTCCTACTAAATCCTTTCCGTGGATAGAAATTTGAAACTACCAAAATGTGAGAGCAATCTGCTTAGTTAAGCAGAGAGTTTAAAAATCAATTCAAAGCACCAAAAATTGTTAAAATGTAATCCATTTTTCAGATCCACATCAACATTCCATCAGTAGCCTTACAGTAGTCAATCCTTATAAATGCATGGCCACACAACCGAGACAGCAGTGCCTTTATAGCAACAATGCTTAGAGTTTTTGTACATTACAGATAAAAATAACCAATTTGGAAATCTTTGGACTGTCGCCTACTCAAACACTCATGCATCTAGAGAAATGAAGAAAAGTCAAATTGGATAAACTTCCAAAAATGCTGCTGTCTCTCATTGAAATCTACTGGTGGATGGATAGGCTTCAAGTGTCTATTATTAAAAACACAGATTTGAAGGGAATACATTAAGCCTGGATCAAGAAGGGCGAAGAAACTGAGGTGATAGCAGGAACTGCAGATGCTGGAGAATCTGAGATAACAAGGTGTAGAGCTGGATGAACACAGCAGGCCAAGCAGCATCAGAGGAGCAGGAAGGCTTGTTTTGGAGGGAGGAGGGTAACTTCTTCTGATGCTGCTTGGCCTGCTGTGTTCATCCAGCTCTACACCTTGTTGTGTAAGAAACTGAGATGTTTAGTTTTATGCCTTGGAATTCAATACTGGAATATAATTTATCGTTTGGCTAGGAATAGGTTTATTGAGTCCAATGTACTGAACTTATATCAGCAAATAGAGATGAATACAAACTCAATATGATCAAAATCCAGATCTGTCTGTCTCACAGGAAAACTTGAGCCAATATGAATGCTAGAATGGATCCAGGTTCTCACTGAAGTTTCTGCCAGTGAATTATTCCAAAGCGAATCAGTTAGGCAGCTTGAAATGGGGTCTGTTTCTGGTCCAAAAGCTAACAAACTATCTGAAGCAAGACCAACTTACAATTTCCTAACTGCAGATAATTCTTAAATCATACACATGTGCACACACACACGCAAGTTACGAACAAATGCAGAAAAAGACTGACTGGCTGAACCAGTTCCCATCTTTTTTCTTACCGTCACGTGACATTCCAAGAGTAAGACACTTCTGCAGTCGGCAATGTTGGCAACGATTCCGATTGGTCCGATCAATCAAGCAATTCCTCTGACGAGGACAGGAGTATGCAGCATTATTTTGTTGGCTTCTCCTGAAGAAGCCCTGATTTAAAAAAAACTTAAGGTTGTTACTATTGGTGTTATTTTGGAATAGCATACTGCAGTTCCATAGACTCCTAGTTTCAGATCAAGAAACTACCACTGCTCATAACAGATAATCACCACAAATTCATGACAGCATGTGGCTCAATTTTACTTATTCATCAAAATGTAAACAAACAGTGAAAGTACAGCAAACTCTGAACACTTCAGGGAATGAGATCAGCTGTCTTTTATTTGCAGCTGTCTTCGTTCACAACATCATCATTGTATGCACTGTCAACATTTTCAATAAAATGGGTAGCTTCTATACCCACCATCCACAGCGGCAGAGAAACTGTTCTGCCCTCGGATGGAGTTGTGCAAGCATCAGTAATAAAGAGGTTTTCATGACTTCTTAGGAAAGAATTCTCCAAATCCCAAAAAAACCCATTTATTTCACAGAACTGCTGCTGCCACCACCTGAAGCTGAACTGCGGTCATTGTGTTTTACATTGGATATGGGTTTAGTGCATTGGAAGCAGTCCATTCTCCATATTGAATGTCCATGGTTTTAGAGCACCTCCTGCAAGTCCTTTCGCTCTCTCAGTAACTGATTGACAATTTGCAGGGGTGTATTATTTGAGGATTGGCCTTTTATTCAAGGTTCACCACAGCTAATTAACTGTATTGCACATTGGAACATTTTGAGGATATAATCAGCGGTACATAATCATCACATTGTCTTTTGTAGTGCAGTGTTTCTGTAGAAATGATTCTTTCCTTATGAAATTTTTATCTCGTTGCTCTTCATGTGAACCCCTAGTTTGACTCATTATTTGTAGTTGAGAGACCAGTTGGCTCAGGCTTTGATCCTGCTATTCCTACCCAGAGATCACAGTGTTGCAGGGTAGAAAGAGGTTGCAGGATTGGAGAAAGTGGAGGCCATACACAGAGTTTTGAGAGCAGGAACGAGAATTTTAAAATTCAGATGTTGCCAGATCAGGATTCAGAGTAGGTCAGTGAGCAAAGGGTATTTTTGTGAATAAGACTGGATACAAGTTTAGCTAAAGGTGACAGAGTTTTAGACATGCTCAAGTTTATGGAGGTTTATAGGTGGGAGACCAGCCAGGCCAGTGGAAAACATCAAAATGAAATGAAATAACAACGTGTAGAGCTGGATGAACACAGCAGGCCAAGCAGCATCAGAGGAGCAGGAAAGCTGACGTTTCGGGTCTGGACCCTTCTTCAGAAATGGGGCCCATTTGTTCATCCAGTTCTTCACCTGGTTATACCGGGTTATAGACCAACAGGTTTATTTGAAATCACAAGCTTTTGGA